CTTTTTTTTTTTTAAGAGTTCTCTTACTGGTTAAACTCGCTCCACTGGTTTGTCGCATCGGGCAATATGGCAGGCAGTCCCTTGGCGATAGAAATACAGATAAGTCGCCAGCATCACTCGGATTTTCGCACAGGTTTACTTCTGCGGAGAATTGAACCTCAGCATCGGCACATCGTACTTCCATAAGACTGTTGTGTGAAATGGGAACAAAAATTTTCGCTGAGATATCTAGTGGGGTGATCCTTCGATTGTCTCAGCATATCCTGCCACCTTAGGAATTGAATAGAAGGAGAACTACTTTGCTTCAGTCATCTGGTGTAATTGCTTTCTTTCATACCAGAGAGTACTTTATTAGAGGTGTTATGAAGGACGATGTACATTTGAAGAGTTTCAGTTCTGAGACCATTTTTTCCCGGAGTCTTATTGGCTTCAAGCTTGCGGAAAACGGAGATTCTTTCTTCTTTTTTTGGCGCCTTACAGTTGCAAGCATATGGTTCGGCGAACGTATCAGAAGCTGTCGAAAAGAGCCGAAAGAATTTATTATAAAAAAAATCCTCTCAGATCCTCTCATAACAAAGACTCTTCACAGCAATGAGCTGCTTAATATTCAAAGTATGCAAAATTCACATCTAATTTATAAAAAAAAACTGTTATTCAAGAATTTTTGATACAGTTGTGAAATGCTGTACCCTTGAGAAAAAATAATAATTTCTATACAATTTTTTATGTAATTTGCATAATACTGTAAGTAACCCACATATGAGAAAAAAATAAACTCCTAGAATCAGTTTGTTTGCTTTAAAACTTCGGAATCTTTGCTTTTAGAATCAGAAACTTTGTTTTAGAAAAAGGACGACGAACGGGAACTTCTGCGAATAATTTCTCTTAAACTAGAATACAATGCGACATTCTCCTTCTTCCTTAACTCTAATCGTCTCCTTGACCCAATCAATTATTATACTATTGTAATATATTGTTGCTATAATTCAATGGTAAAATGGTAAACCTTTTCCTTTCAACTCAAGACAACTTTCATGATATCATCTATATTAGGGGTGACAGATGACGCATCATAGTTAAGTTTAGCCTCAAAGAATTCGTTCCATCTTTCTTGACTTCCATGATTCTAAATACTCTTAACAGGCTATCCCTTACCATTTCGCTGATCGTTCTCCCAGTTATAGTTGCCTTATGTCGTAGGTGGAATTGCTTCCTATTGGTGCCTAATCGAGTCGCCGTCTCCATTTTCAAGGCCATCTCGCCTCCAATAGTGATTTCTGTTCCGCCATGCTGCTGTCGTTGTAATTCTTCGAAGCATCAGGTAGTCAGGATCACCTAACATTCGTGCTTTGGCAGCTTTTTCAGGAACTTGGATAGTTTCTTCCGGTACCCAATTAGCGTACTTTCTACTAGTATATCCTAGTGTGAAGTGGCTAACTTTTGGAGATGTTCCTTTAAATAGGACCAGTATTCATTTGCCGTTCCAGAAAAATCATTGATATTTATACCAATGAGATGATTCAATAATTCGGTTTGAAATGCACTCAACACCTCTCTCCTAATAAAAATTATAATTTTAATTATAAAAGAACACTTCTACAACATAACATGGATTCTCTCTCAGTTCATAGAATTAAACAAGATTTAATTTACACATATAAGATTCTGTATGGTTATGTTAAACTAGATTGCTCGAAATATTATAACTTTAGACTAAATTTGAATCCAACAAGAACTAATGGCTTAAAATTACTAAAACCTATATGCAAAACTAAACTAAGGACTCATGACTTCTTTATTCGTCCACTGAATTCTTTAGTTTGCGATAGTTTATTTATTTATTTATTTATTTATTGATAACCAGCCAAGCAGGGCGACAACGCCATGTGCTTGTATTAATAATAACAATTAAGATAACAGAAAAAGAAAACACAGAAAAAATAACATAAACAAAATTAATTATAAAACAATATGACAAAAATTAACAATTTAAAGAGGAAATTACAGGTCAATATAATATAGTACAATTCGAAGTAACATATATAACCTGAGATAAAATCGAGATTTCTCACTTCCTGTAGTTCTTGCCTGGTGTGAACTCTTCTCTTTTTTTTGTTTTTATATAATATCGTAAATGATATTATCTGGTCTTTTTTTAAAGACAGCTAAGGATGACGCACAAGCCACATCGTTCGGTAATTTGTTCCAGTAGTTAATAGTACGAATAAAGAAGTCATGAGTCCTTAGTTTAGTTTTGCATATAGGTTTTAGTAATTTTAAGCCATTAGTTCTTGTTGGATTCAAATTTAGTCTAAAGTTATAATATTTCGAGCAATCTAGTTTAACATAACCATAGAGAATCTTATATGTGTAAATTAAATCTTGTTTAATTCTATGAACTGAGAGAGAATACATGTTATGTTGTAGAAGTGTTCTTTTATAATTAAACTCATAATTTTTATTAGGAGAGAGGCGTCTTAGAAAATATTTTTGAATATAGTTAAAGGATCTTTGGGGATGCTGCTTTTTGCGAGTCAATTTTAACGGATTTTGGCTCGGACCTTAACATGGTGTGATCCATGAATATTGCCCCTTTCTTACAATTTTTTTTATTATAAAATGTAAAATTATGAATGGCAAGCGAACATCAGAATCTTTTCTGCGTAAAGGCTCAGGTTTAACAGGTCAAGTAATACTTAAAATTTAATATTAAATTTTTTTTTCGAGTTGTAAATGGATGCCTATTCATGTGGTGATAATTGCTATTATTATTTCCTATATATGCTATAATATTTAGGCTAATTTTCTATTTAAGTAAATACTCCTGGATATTTGCCGTATTATATTTGCTATATTCATTTGAATTCATTTGAAGTTATACTACTATTTTATTATATTATATTATTTATTATTTATAATATTATTTATTCGACTAATGTTCTATTATTATTCTATTAGAACTTTATTAAAAATATGCTGGAAATGCATCATTATTGCATATAAAAATATTTTGAGAAATATTAAGCATTATTGATCACTTCAAAGAGTATAGTGTTGCAAACCTTTCAAATCAAAATCAAAATTCAACAAGAGAAATAAAAGAAATGTAAAATATCAGACAATAATATCAGATAATATATTTGATAAAATTGGTATTAAAAAATATACAATTACATATACCTAGCTGCTATATATATACATATATACGCTATATATATAGCTGCTATATATTATATACATATTATATACATATATATATATATATATATTGATACGCATTACCCGTCTAGTGGATCAACCTATCTAGTAATGGTTAAGCTGTTAGAAGAAGAACAGTTGGTTATATATATATATATATATTCATCACTTCTGGTTAGCTCGCTCGACTGGCTGCACGATGAGAAATTTTTGCCAGAGAATCAATCATCCAGTAATAGAAATATAGGCGGCAAAACTCGGATTTATTAATAATAGGCTCATTCTGACCAGAATCCGAACCTTGAGACCACTCGTCCATATTGCTTAATTGGCATAAAACAGTTTTCGGATATTTTAAGTTTGGAATAAAAAACTGAAAACATATGGGATGCATATGAATTTCTATGGAGAAAATAAATGAAAAGTAGGAAGTATACGGAAAAGCCCATCGATAGAAACATAAAATAATAGTAGTCACAATATTAACTACAATATTAATTTTCTGTGAGATGAAATTTATGAAGATAAATCGAAATAATGGTATAACAAAAAATCTTTTTAAACTGCAGAACTGAATGTTTTTTTGTGACTTTTCCTCAAAACAATCAAAAATTTATAATTGTCTATTAATTCATTCATTAAATAGTCTTCAGAAAATATAATTTTCTTAGTCTATTGACGACTATTAGTTGGATGAGAAAATTCTGCCGAAGAATCAGTAGGGAATTTGAAATGAATGTAAGCATTAGCCGGATTTTATTCAGTTGAATGTAATATAAGATTAAACGCTCGTAGATCTCCCCTAACGCTCAAGAATTATTAAGAATTAACGCAATTTGGCTTACGCATAAATAAGCTTCAAACTGGACTTAGTGGAAGAGTTTTATGAAAAAAAGGTTATAAGAATAAAAAAGGTTATAATAATATTTAAAATGTATCTTTTTTTTAATCCACGCATGCCAACTTATTCGACTAAATATTTATTTATTAATAATCCTTAGAAACTTACTGAAATGCATTTGAAAAGAGGTTCGATAAAATTGCGAAATTATTCAAGAAAGCAACAAAGCAGTTAGCTATTACCATTAGATTTAGAATGAATCAAAAAAGAAATCTTTATTGAACATTATTTCGCCTTCGAAACACTCGTAGAAATGACAAATTATTTGAGAAAATAATTTTGAATTTATATAATTAATAGTTTCATTAGTGAAATTTCTAAAATTCTCTTTCAAATGAAACTATTTTATTGCTGTTTCCTTCTTAATAAAAATTTACGAAGCTAAACTGCGTTACCCTCTTTTCTTTCTAAGAGTTTTGCTTTTGCCTAGCTTTGCAATTGCTTCTCACCAAAGAGTGATTCCCACCAAAGAGTCACTTCCAGCAACAAATATGTCGTCAGCATCATCTGGCTTTAATAATAGGTTTACTCCTGCAAAACGGAAGGAATCGAATCGATGAAGCTTAATCTAAGTTAGTGCAATAAATACACCATTCTAGCACTATTCCACTGCGTTGTAATAAAAAATTTTTTCACATAAAGACCATTTTAAATACTTCCAAATGTTTGCATTTCTGATGGCAATTACAGTGCCCCTCGATTTTCAAGTTAATAATAATTTAATCAATTATTTCCTCTTAAAAAAATTGCTCTTTTCACCTTAGAGTCGACAACACAACGAGAGATTCAACTGAGCCATTGCTGGCAATTTATCAATTTGAACAATTTAGATAATTATCTAAATAAGCCATTAATATTCTACTTTTCTATGCTAATGCAGTGAAAAAAAAAAAAAAATGCTTTATGCCCAAAATAAATTAATATATACAATAATGAAGGCAGTGATAATAGAAACAAGTATGAATGATGATCGACTTTGTCCAGAATCGTCCATTCTGTAAATTTTTTCAGCTTCAACTCTGAACATAGTCCTTTTTGAAGTTAACTGAAATGATTCGTTGAAAAGATCTGTAAAAGATTCGACTTTCTTCTGTAAAAGATTTGACTTTCTCACTCTTTCTTAAAAGAGTTACTAAAAGATTTAAATCAGAAATTAAGTAAGCAAAAAATTCTTTAGCAACCGGCTTCTAAATATTATAGCTGCGAATAAATGTTGAATTTTTTTGAAATTAATTTCTGAAAAAATTATTTAAATTATCTCTTTGTCTTCTTCCCTATGTCATTACTGATTTTTCTAGTTCTATAGCCTTTTTTCAATCTCATGGAAAAGTAGTTACAGGTATTGGTATTCCCAGCATTGCCCAGTTCAACTTTTTGTAATAGATTACTCTAGTTAATGATATTCGATGAGCAACGAAGCCATATCACTCAACCTTCTCTATTCTTGATTATCTTCAATTCTTACGAAACAATGATTCTAACAATATAGTCTCAGGCACAGACTAAAGTAATGAGGGGACAAATATAAATTCTGGTCCGAAAATCTGAAATCTGAAATCAGGATGAAATCAGGGCCTTACATTCACATTTCTTTCCGATTATGGTGCAAACTTAAGATTTTTAAGAAATAGTTCAATTAAGTCGTGCAATTAATTGAATAAATGAAACAATTCACAGGACTAGACCGTGAATAATTTCAACTTTAATTTTCTTTATATTTTACGAAATATTTTGAAAAAAAATTACATAAAAAAATGTTCCAGCTATAGGTCTTCCAAGCATTTGACCCGTTGGTGAGATTGTTAAAAAATCGGATAAGTTTTCGAAATTTCCCCTAATGTCGCCGCTAATATTAACTTTTTCTTCCAGTGAATCGGTCGTCTTATAGACCAGAACAACATATTGATGACGATCTGAGAAAAAAATATGTTAGCATTTAGCACCAATCATTTATCAAAAGATATATATCGGAAAAGGTTGTAAAAAATGATATCAAATATTTATTTTAGGCTAATTGATGGCACCCTAAGTACTGGCCGGATTGCTTTTCCATTTATATTTGTATAGATTTGTATTTATAGAATTTTCATCTGAGCCATTCATGGATAAACGAATCATTTTGAATGATATCTTGCTATCACCAAAGTCGAACCATCATAGATTTTATCCTTGCCTCATGTCGACCTGTCATTAAAAGTAAAATTTCGGAGGTGTAGTGCATTCACCTCCACTGTATAGTATCTCCATTCCTCGATAATTCGCTGGCGAGGGGATCTCTTCCTAATAGCCAGAGAACCAAGCCTAATTTAGTATTAAAAGGATCCATTTTCGAAAAAATGAGAAGAATCACTTGATTTATCAATTTTTTCGATTTTATATATAAGGTAATTCATACGGAGACAGTAAATATTATTAAATATCATAAAAGCATTTTTATACAAATAGAAAGGCAGTTTAAATTAAGTAATATGAGACTAGGAAAAACTTACAAATTTTTTGTTGTGGTAAGGAATAATTGCTAACAATGCCTATAAATCCTCGTCGGTTCTGATCAGTTATATCGATGTTCAAGACTGATTCGCCTGTTGCAGGATAATCATAACTGAAGAATAAGGCTTTTGCTCGCTTTACTGGGTCTGCAAATAATAGACATTTTAAAAAATTAAAAAATTAAAGAATTTTAAAACAAGCTTTAAAGTTTTAAACTACAAAAAGCTTTCAAGAGTCTGATGGTTACTGGTTTGCATAATACTGTATTTTCAGAAATCAATTTTATTTATTTAAACCCACAGCATAAGATTAACATGTGAATTTTTTTCGATTCGGCATAAATACTGAGTATATGCTTTCTACCGAATAAAAATTAATTAAGGATTAGACTGATATTTTTTGTGTAAAAAATTAAAATTTCATGATGCCATAATTGAAATTAAAATCCAAAAATCCAGAATTTAAAAGAGGAAAGGAATATTTTAAGTCGAAAAAACTTGGCAAAGATGAAACAAAGAAATGAAGAAATAATTCGAGAAAAATTCAGAAAATCAAAAAAAAAACTCAAGAAATTTGTTTAAACAAGTTGTTATGATTTACTGGGAAAAGGCAAAGGCATTTTACTCCTTACCATTCGTTTATTTTACCATTCGTTTGAAAATTTTTTTATTTATTTTTATTTATTTCATTTATAAACACGATAATATCGCAATTATAGTTATATATGGTATCTAGAATGAATTCTATTCTTCTACCAAATTGTAAATAGAAAATTTAAAAATTCACACACCAACAAGTAGAAGGACATGCAAATATCCTCCTGGAGCAGGCACCATTGATTTGAAGGTTAAGGTTTTGACATTTCCAGTCACATAATCGGGATGATCCGACACTTCAATTTCATCGCCCGTTTTGATCGATGGCGAGGGCACATTGAAAGCGAAATCGCTTATTGTCACCTGCAAAATACTATCAAAACAAAAAGAAAAAATTTAGGGATACAATGATCACAAAAATAATTGGTGTTTTTAATCAATGTGATTTTAGATTTACCAACTAGGCTTTTTATTCTGATAATTCTAATTAAATTAAATTGGCCAAGCAAATTTCGAAAAACTATTTGTTCTTGATGGATTTTAAGATGTAAAATATTATTCCAAGTGTTTGCGAATATTTTGAATTTATTTCGCAATTTTTTGGGGATTTTTTTGGAATACCAACAAAGCTGTCTCTATCTTTTTTTCGTGTATGTGAAAACATGGTTTTTTTTAATTTTATAAATGAGAAAAAATACATTTAAATATTTAAATTTAATTATCCTTTTGGAAGAATATGCGATTAAAATATAAAAAAAGTTCCAAATTAATAAAACTCCATTAATGAAGACTTTCCTATAATAAAAGAAAAGAAAAAACACATACGGATTCAAGCTGTGAATGTGGTGTTTGTGGAATTATTTGCGGTGATATTCCAAGTTCAATAAACCCTCAAAGATTTTTAAGTTTATTTATATCTTTTATATGATAAAACTACAAATGATACTAGTAATCTTTGTCAAATCAAAATAAAAAAACTAAGTTATAGTTAAAATTAAGTTATATATTTTTCAATTTTAAAATTTTTTTGACTTTTCGAAATTGACGTTTACTAAAAGATATTCAGTGGATATTTTTAAATAGTACTAAATAGTACTAGTAATAAATTTATGATGAGTCGACTGTTGGCAGAAATTCTATCAAACTGAATTCATTCTGCCTAGTTTATATTCACAACGTTATCTATGACACTCCTCGATTTGTTTGCATTGCTATTATTTCATTTCTGTGGAACCTGCCAGTGATTTAAAATAATGTGTATATGGTTAATCTGATGATTTCGATTCAATTAAGAATGGTAAATAAAGCAAACAAATTGAATTCAACAGGCATTGTTTACAGAAATAGAAGCAATCAACTGTACGCTTATGTATTGAAAACTAACCAAGTATTCTTTTAAAACTATGGACAACTATTCAATTTTTTAACATGTTTTGATGAAATTATTTCGACATATAAACATAAATTTATTTATAATTCGGCTCACCTCTTTTTCAGATCAAAATCAATTAACGAATCATTTGAAAATTAAATGATTACTAAATTTTACGACAAATATAACCACCGCTGACTACTGGGATGGATGAATAAAAGTTTTTCGCCAGAGGTAGACTTGGGAATAGCAGTTTAGCTGGGTCCCAACAACAACAAACTTCATTTTAAACGACAGATCGAGAGATAAGGTTTAAACCTATAATGGTCTGAATGCAGGAAGATACTAGCGGTTCTCTAACGAATTTTTTCATAAAATTTGTAATGCCATCGCTCAGTAATTTTGTATGCCTTTCAGTTGACCAGTTTTACCATCGAAAATATTAAAAAAATTTTAAATATTAAAAATGAAAATTGGAAACTTACAATCATTAATAGTCATTTTACTTGAGTCACAACAGATATAACTAATTTGATTGGTTAAATGATCATTTGTGAAGAGCTGACATGGACGACAAGCAAATCCGGCTGGACACTGATTGCGATTATGTGGATTACAAGGATTATAATCGAAGTTTTTGGTCTCTGCAGGGCATTTGTATTCATAGTCCACTAAAAAAATTAAACTTAATTTGTAAATAAATTCAAACTTTAACGTACCCAAATTGTCCAAAGATTGAATATTTTATTCTAACATTAATTTTTTTGGTAAAACCACTGAATTTTTCAGATAAAATTATTTCAAAAGCATTGGAAATCACCATCAGAATATGCTCGATATACGAGGAAGAGGCACAGAAATAATCGTAACATGGTTAAAACTGTTATGAATTATTTCTGAAAGATATGATTCAGTTAACAAAACTAAAAAATTTAAGCACTGCGAACTCGTATTCTATTTTCTGCTGCTTTTACTCTTCATCGAAAACCAAACGCAAATCCATTTGAAATTAGCATATTCTCAGATAAATAAAATGAAAAGGCGATAATAATTAATGTCATACGACTCACGCAAAGCTCATAGTCTATTAGCGCTGATCCATCTGTACTGCTATCCCAATTGGTTCTCTGGCGGAAAACTCATCCTAAAAACTGACCTTAATAGTATAAATCTTTACCATTAATCAGAAGGCTGTCGAGGAAAAAAACATTCTAATCCCAATTAAATCTTATCATTAAATGCAAAATTTTACATTTTCTGTAAATATTAAATATTGCAATTTTTCAAAAAAGGAAAGTGTAAATATTTTCAATCTAAATAATTAAAAATATAACTAAACTAAACTAAATATAAATGTAATAAAAAAAAGGGTTAAATGTTCCTCCGACACAGTTGAATTATTGAAATTTCCAAGAAAATCAATTTCCGTCAAAGCACAACTTTTTTCAAAGATACAAAAGTTCAAAGTTAAAAAATTCTAAAAAACTAGAGAAATAAGAGCAAAAATAAGGTAAATAAAAGAAAATAAAAAATGGAAAAAAATTTTCCAAAAATTATTACCGTAATTTTTATATTCCAAAACAGTCAATCAATATTTCTCGCATTAATTTATTCTTCATTTAAGAAAAATTCCCCTTTGTTTCTCTCATTTTTAAAATGAAAAGTAAGAATAAAAAAATTAGAACACAAAAAAAGTAATGAAAAGCCTATACAATGTGGCAACAATCTGTCGAAAATTTTCGAATGCATCGCAGTTCACCAACGATTATTTGCTTTCGATGGTTATTATATCGCAATTTGTTCAGCCGTCGGCGAATTCTTTCAGATTATAGCCCAAAATTCCATCCATTCGCGGTATTTCGCGGTGCCCGCCCGCACAAAAAATTCTAATTAATTCATTTTTAAGCAATTTAATAAGCAAAGTGAGTGGCGAGCGCTTATTTCTGGTTGGACTCGCCGACTTGGCTGTCAGTGCTTGGCTGTCAGAGAAACCTTTGCCGAAGTCATTTAATGAGGCACAGCTGAATAGCGACATTGTCGGGATTTTCTGTTGAAGAATTTGCTCGCGCCGAAGACAGTTGTCGAAGCGACAGGTGAACTCGAGCGATGGTCTCTCTGTCTCTGTTCGCATAGCTTTTTCGACTTAAACCAACCTAAAAATATTAAGTTCAGCCTAAGGCAAAAGAAAAGATTAAAACTTCAAAACAAGCGACCAGCGACGTTGGCATGGTTCGATATGTAATCTGCCAAAATACTTTGACGCCCCAAGACACCTTTCCGATTCCCTGGTGGTACGAAAAACCCTGAAAAATTGCAATTCACATTGTTTTAGCGAAGAAACAAGTTTTTTAAATTTTGCGGACTTTTTTCGTAAATCTTACAACGATTATTCTATTTCGAGTAGTTTTTCGTTTCAAATTTCAGTTGTTGCCGGATAGTTTTGTATACTGAAGTTTTTCTTCATCAGTTTGGTTCGGTTTGTTAGTTTCTTCGTATTTTCGTTTTTTATTATTTACCTTGAAACTAAAAATCTTTGTAAAATATACTTTGTAAAACAAATTTAGCGAAAATTTATTTTTTCTTAAAATTAATAAAAAGTAAATTCGCAGAAATTTTCGCTTAAATTACCGCTGTTATTCACTGTGTTCGTTATTATTAAATAATTTGTAAAATTTGAGTCGAATTTGTGTTTAATTTAAAAGCAATTCGCGAATTTTTGCAGCGGATTGGTTTTTTAGTGGTATTCCTTTACTCACTTTTATTACCATTTTTGGCTTTCTTCTTGCGATAAATCCTGTGAAAGGTTAGCGTAATAAATTCAGGCAAATACGTTAAATTATTCTCTGAAAATTCGCGATAATGAGAATTTCGAAAAGCAATTGAAATAAGTTATATTATATATATACGACGCATTTCTTATTTGAGTAGTTCGCATTTTTTATTTAAACGAGAACTGTTAAGTTTGATGGAGTATGAGTGGCACGACTATCCGATCAGCTGATCCTGAATTGGAATTAGCCATTCAACTGAGCAAGTAAGTCTTCGTTCCACTGCCTTTTGTTAAATTTACAGTTTTAATTTCGCATTTTTTATAATTTGCAATTTTCAGATAACTTTTTAACGATTTTTTTGTTAAATGTTTATCTCAGGCAAACATATGCAGAAGAACTGCTTAGAAGAGAACAAGAAAAACTAAATTCGTCGGAAGATTTAATTCGATGGGAAGACACAAATGAAAAATTAAGGCGAAAGAAAATTGATGATATTCACCGTTTGCTAGAAACCAGCACATTCAGACGGCCAACGTTATCGGAATTTACGTAATACAATTTCCTCTTATTTTAAATTATCTTGTGTGCACTGACAGATATCTTCTTAATCGTATCTATTTTAATTAACTTCAAAAATTTATAACTAATCATCATATTTTCACTAATAAATTTTATTTTTTAATATTTGAATTAATGACAGTGGTCGTCGATACGTACCAAATTCTCATGCGCCTAACTTCCTTGATTCGACAACGGCGAAAGCAGCGTTGCCAGTCATTTATTCAACAAATAGCCATCTTCATTTCGGTTATATAAATACTTAATTGATACTTTTTTGAACTCTGTATAATGCATACTGAATCACATTTGACTAAATTTTCTTACCAAAATGTTTTTCTCATGATATTTTAGGTGATTCTCCCAAGAGTTCCGTATTTAGCGTTACAACTTCGTTGCCTCTTTATCCGAAGCCAAATACAACAGATGTGTTTTCCCATTGGAGCATGTGCAAGTACAGTTTAATAATTTGTTAGATGAAAATATATTAATGTTGAAAAATTCGATATTACGCAATATATAGTGCATTTTTTATAGATTCGCTTGTAAATTGACAGAATTAAGAGTAATTAAATATTTTTTTTATGTAAACATCATGAGAGTAAGGAATGAAATTTATGTAGTTGAAATGTATTTTCAGTCCTGCCTTATCGCAATTTTATAATGAGCCAGTGTCACCTCATTCTTCCTTATGTGTACCTTTTCGGTCATCTTCAGCTCAGTTCAATGAAGATCTTATTGATCTTGGCGAATCAGCTACACAAATTGGTAAAAAATCTTCAATTTATGAACAAGTAAGAATTTTTTTAACGCAGAAATGGGAGATAAATGTACTATTTGATTTATTTTGCTTTATTTGTTTCGTGATATTTATCTTCCTTTTTTTCCTCTTATTATCGATTTGTTTTTCATTTTTTATTTTCATTACTCGCACAATTTATAGCATTTATATTATCACTGGTAAAAATTTTTTCTTTCAAATTGAAATTTTTTATTCTTTTAAAGAAACTAATTTGCATTTTAATAATGGAGATTTTTTTTCTTTTTTAATTTTTAGGTGATTACAATATGATAGAATACAAAAATCTATTTCATATCTTTATAATTTGAAGCAAATAATTTCTATAATTATTTTTAATTCAATAATTGAATAGGTATTGCATTTGTAATTATAATAAGCAGTATTTTTAAGTGAGAACTTTATAGTTATGTGAAGAATTCGATCCGCTACATTCTGTTTCCTTAGATGTAGAAACTGTTGATTCTTTTAAGCAAAGAGATAACTCCGATACATGTGGTGAACGAGTTTCTCTTGAACGCTCACAATCTCTTGCTCTTTCGCATTCCACTTCCCCTGCTAAAAGTAAATTTTTTTTCATATATTCAAAATATATATTTCCTTTAAGAGGCTAAAGTAAAATTCTAAATTTTCTAATTGATAATTTTATTTTTGTAAAGAATTTGTAAAGAAAATTGGCCGATTAAAAAGATTTTCTAAGAAATTACTTCTTCCTATTGAACCTGTTATTTTATCGCCATTAGTTGATTGTTTTATTATATATAGCTCGACCTCCTCCACCTAAACCTTCTCGACAGAAAAAAAACACTCGTAGTGATTCTGTCGATTCGAAACGCTCATCTTATTTGTCTGCTATGTATCCAGATATTAGTTTTAATGACATTGTTCTGGTTGATTGGAAATGTGAAATTGATCAAGAGGTTGGGTTTTTTTTAAAAATAAATTTATTAAATTTAAATTTTTTTTAAAATAAATTTATAAAATAAAAAAAAAATCTAAAAATGTTCTCAATGTCATGTGTGGTAGATAGAACTAAATTTTTTTCAATTTTTTTCTTTTTCTTTATTCTATATGTTCTTTAAGTGGTAGTGAAATTGTGGAACTTTGGTCTGCTCCTATAGTACTGATTTGATTTTGCAAATTTTCAATGACTGTTTGCTTATTATGCTGATATTGTTATTATTTATCAATGTCAATATTTATGTTAGATTGATTCATTACAACGACGTGTTCCAAAAAATTGTGATCCTGCAGCAAAACATTTTGTGTCTCCAGTTGTTGATTATTTAATCACAAGTTTTACCGTAACAAGTGTCAAGGTGATTGTAGAAAAAGATTTCAGGTAAATTTTTTCTTGAAATTCATACAGAATTGTATAAATTTTATCGCATATTATTTTCTATCATTAATAATATTTTAAGATAAAGTTAATTTTCAAAAATATTTCATTTTTAGTTCACTCCAAGTTATTCAGATATCTGCATATTATTATTATTTATTACTTTTTAGTTGGCAATCAAAGTTTGGCAGTGAAAATAAGATGGTATTTACATGCGAAACTCGAAGTACAATTCAGGAGATTTTAGCCAATGTTTTAAATACATTTTTAGATGTGGATCAAATTGAATCATGCAATGGTCATTTACCAGTTGATGACTATGGTCTTAAAGTATGCATTTTTTTGTAGGAATTTTTTTAAGCATTTAGCGGGATCGACCAAATGATTCTTATCACCGCTGGTTTAGCTCGCTGCGCTGGCGACTTAGATAGAACGTTTCCAAATCTCTAATGCCATAACTGAAATCACTCGTTTTCCTGATCAAATTCGCTTCTTACTAGGTTGCCTGTGCATTCAAAATCTCCCTTGACAGTGTCGGTCCAGATCTTGATTTGCCGTCTTTAGTTTTGAATCTTCATCATTGGCCTCATAAAATAGCGAGATGTATGTCATTTTCTATAGTGGGCGAATGGCCAAACCAGTGCTATCGACCCATAACGATATTCAAAAAGTATTCGAGTGAAGGTGGATGTAATCAGATTTTGTTCATTTGGCGGGTACGTATTACTTTTTTCTTTTTTTTTCTAACAGCTTTCACCAGCACTGGTTAGGCTGGTTTCAATGGCTACAAGGGTAAGACGTTTCCAAGTAGCGCGGTCTGTTGATATCGTAGATAGTAATATAAGCCATTCCTTTTTCTATCGTCTAAGTCCATATATTGCTGGTTCACCTATATGTTCAAAATCTTTTCTCACCGTATCAGTCCAGGTCTTGATTGGCCCACCTCGCTTTTGATGCCAACCATCACACGGTTTAGCAAATGACGAAATATGCGTCAATTCATGTGGTTGACGATGGAGAATGTAACCTAACCAGCGAAGGCGGCGCTTTGTGATAATATTTTTTATGCAAGTGGTATTTGAAGGAAGGTGGATGCGATCTTGTGATATTTTATCCGCTCGACTGACCCGTAAAATGTAACTTAGACAAGAGTGGTCAAAGGTAATTTTTTAATATCCTCCACTCTCATTGGCCATGTTTTACAGCCATATAGTAAGATCGAAACGGCGACTGACTAAGATATAATCAATCTGGTTGAAGTGTTGGTTGTCCGGGGAATTCCACGTGATTAGATGTTTTCTATGATGCCGGAAGCAAGTATTAGTAACAAAAGTTCATGCTCTTCGGCATAACGAAGAAGACGTTCTTCCCCATTGGCACACTGGTCTCCGATGCCATATTTGCCAATTGTTGAGGTCATCGCAGCTGCATTATGACCTACGCGAGCATTCCAGTCTCCCCCGTTTATGATCATGTCATGTTTCGGTAGAAACTTTTTTAGCAGTTGAAGTTCCGCATAGAACTTATCATTTATCATTTATCTTTATCACGGTCATCTGCTGACAGAGTTGGAGCATAGACACTGATGACAGAGATATTGCAGAACTTACCCTTAAAACGGGCATACGCCATACGGTCGATTACCGGTTTCCGCTCAATCAAAA